GGACCCTTCTTCTTCAGGGGCAAACTGAAGAAGAAAGGTCCACCTTTCGGAAGCGCTCGGGTTATAGGTTTTTATTCAGTACTGTGAATCTTGTTATGATTCTCGGAAAATAAAAATAATATTTGAATTCAATTCAGAAAAATAAGATGTTATATTTCTGCCTATAAAGTTTTTAAAGAAGGTACGTTAGCTCATGTAAACAAGCTTAGAAGTAAAGTGCTCATTATGTACATCTTTTATAAACTGGGTCTTCCGTTTCATACCATAACTGTAAGCTTGTTGTTTAAAGTGTTCCCTGGGAAATAAGATACTGACCTTCACGTATGTGTTTCTTATTTGATTTTTGATGATGATTTCTCTTCTAGTATATGCATTAAATATAATTTTTTTAATACGCCAAATATTTATGCTCTCTTCAAAATTAGGTTATTTTAGAATCAATGTAAGATGATTTATTTACATCAGGTATAAGATAACTGTTATTTTACGAAACTCTATAATAAAAGTTGTTTATAATTCATTAAAAGTTACAGTTGTTGTAGTACTACAATGGCCCTCCCCCAAAGTATTGTTAACTTTTCATAATTTTTATTGAATATGCTTCAAAAAATGTTAAAATTGCAAAAGCATGTTTATGTAATAAATTTGATACAAATAGTACAAGAAGAATTAGCTTCTCTGGCTGGCTTTGCAATAATGGCAGTTCCTTTATGGAACTTGATAATACAAAAAACAAAACAAAAAAGAATGCCCTGTAATAATATGAAAATGAATTCACTGTAGTTTATTTGTGAAACCCATCATTCAACCATTTGCTTTATATATTTCAGCATACTATTACCATGCTAGTCTGCGTCTCACAATCTGTACTACTACTACGCATGAGTTAATGTGTTTTTTGTTGTTGTTTGTTTTGTTTTGCGTGCACGTATTTCCTTTAGCATCATCTGTAGCGTTGCCCGTAACGGTTAATAAAAAGTAGAAAGATAAAGGCAGCAAGCTACTCCTGCTTTATTAACAAAAAACGGCGTCTTACCTATTGTGGTGATGACTGTGAGAGAATACAGAAACGCTCCGGAGAAGGACCACTGTTGAACCGCTCCTAACTCCTTCCCGTCGTATCCGTCTTTAACGGCCGCTATTAAATCTGACTGAAAGCGTTTAATTTCTGCAGCTACAAGCCGAGTCCAATTGTCTTTGTAGAGCACATTGAGGTCGTAAGTGATGTCCCATAGCCGCCTCACGGTCTTCTGTCTCATATCTGTCACCTCTCCAGCTTTTACTTCTTCATAAGGAGCCTCTAGTGCCCGGAAAGCGAAAGCGCCCATGATACTGTAGCCGACAACTAATCCACACAACCCGACATGGGAGAACATGAAAGCCGTGAACTTGCGGCAGCACGTCTTGCATTTGTTGACCGGGCGACGTTTCTTGCCGGCGTAGCGGGAACCACTGCGTCTGGTGGAACGCTTCCGCTCTAGAGCCATAGTCGACTGCCACCGATTGACCAGTGGCCGAGCCGGGCCAACCCTTGCAGGCAGCCAGGCTCGGCTCAATGTCTGCTGAGCTTATGGTTATGTTACTTAATATATAAGACTTTTTCAGCTAAAGTACTGATTCAAGCAGATTATTTAACGAAAGGTAAGAAGTCCTATGCTATTCAGGTATTCAATAAAAATTCATGTAATAGTTCCAAAATTTCCATATTTATAAAGAAAAATGTAAAATGTAATGATATTAATAGCCTAAAACTGAACTTTTCTTTTATATGTCCAAAGAGAAACGTCTTGTGTTCTTACTAAATTCTTCTAAAACCAAAATGGGCTCTCATGTTTCTTCAAAGTTCGTCTTCGAGAGCTTTTACTTTACCGAGAGATATATTGGAAGATCTTGTTTTGGGAAGAAGGATTGAGCTACTATGTACACAACTAGTAATTATGTTTATTTAATACACTCGCAACGTTGCAAGAGAAACTAAACGAATAACATCAAATTACTTAAGGTAGGCAGTAAATATTTTCCTGCCTGTAAAGCCACTACAAAATCCTTCAGTGTATTGCTTTCCAGTCTTCCTCCAGCAGACTGGCAAGGCTTTCCTGCGCTCTTGGTAAGTGTATAGAGGCATCAAAGAAAAATTCCTTTGCCGAACAGCGCCCTCTTTTGGGAATCTTTTGAAGGGCGCTGACAAAAACAAACTAACTTAAGATTAAACGTCGAAATATGTATTTATTGTAATATAAGTAACTGAAATGTTGAACGTAATCACTTACGTGCTATGATAAAAAAAGAAAGAGATGTACTCTCTGATAATTTTAGTCAGTTTTGACTATTTCTCGTTTTTCATAGTCGAAATGTAAGATTCTTTTAATATTCATCCACGTAAACAAATATTTACAAACGTAATATCTTTAAACAGAGTATGAATCTGATATCGTTAAACTTTACATTTTAGATTTTTAAAAATGTTGTAATGTTTACACTTAGCTAAAAATTTGATACGATAGGAGAATGATAAGAAGATTAATGTCGAGATGAATAGCAACTTCTTGGTTTTCATGTGACTTTTCGAGGAAAGGAAGCACATTAGGTTAATGTCGAGATGAATAGCAACTTCTTGGTTTTCATGTGACTTTTCGAGGAAAGGAAGCACATTAGGTTAATGTCGAGATGAATAGCAACTTCTTGGTTTTCATGTGACTTTTCGAGGAAAGGAAGCACATTAGGTTAATGTCGAGATGAATAGCAACTTCTTGGTTTTCGAGGAAAGGAAGCACATTATGTTAATCTAATAGTAAATTGACAAACAACGACTTATAACCATAACGAGGTGGTTGATTTTGGGAGAACATACTTATAACCATAATGAGGTGGTAAATTTTGGGGGAAAATACTTATAGCCATAATGAGGTAAATTATTTTGGGGGAACATACTTATAACCATAATGAGATGGTTTATCTTTGGGGAACATACTACACGTTTCGACAGGTATGTTCCCCAAAGATAAACCACTTCGTTATGGTTAAGTCGTTATTTGTCAATTTATTATCAAAAATATGTTTCTTCTTATTCTTCAGTATCCGAAATCTCTATCCACCTGACGTCTCAAACTCAGACACTTTTAATGGCGTACTGGTGGCTACAAATAAGTGGTCAATTCGTTTTATGTATAATTATAAATAAAGCGATTATTAGACTTTAAGAAAGCATACCATGGATTTTCTTAGGTAATTCCCAAGCATTTTCCTCAGAATAGATTCTTTTTCCTTATTAAACCATACCATGCTCATTTTTTCCAACTACTAAACACTTAATTTTGTTGTAGTAAATTTGTAATTAATTTCTCTAATCCCCTCGAAAAAGAAGGAGTATATAATTAGCCTAGCATAAAAACACAGTGTTGTTTTCTTTTCTCTTTTATTTTTCGGAGTAAAACGAGTAGTAGTTTTGGTTTCATTAACAACGTTATTATGCATATATATGAGAGTGTGAAAATAAAACTTCTTTTATTGGAAGATAAGTATGACATCTTGAAATAGGAGCCTATAGTAAAAACTATAATATAAATAAAAAATAGGCTTCAAAAAGCAGTGAAAACAAAGTTGATATGACACGCTACATATTACCTGTGTTCTCCAGCCTCATCAGACAGCAAAAGTACAAGAAAATTGAAGAAAGAAGATTGTAAAGTGTAAAAGCAGAATAATAAAACAAATTTTGAAAAGCGTCAACAGTGTTGGATAACGTGTAAGCGTGGGTTCAACGGTGACAAGTGTCATTCATAGAGGAGGAGAGACGCTAAGTGTTATCATTTAATGAAAGTACTGATTAATTGTTTTAACAACTACTGGAGAACCGATAAAGTAGAACGTCTGGATATTTATTCCAGGAGGGTTGTTTTGTCCGATCAACAATGTTTCTTTAATTTTTTTTCTTAACGCAGGGTAGGCTTCTCAGCTTAGAATTTTTGGACCGTTATTTTGGACTATTGATATTGATTTCTTGTTTGTTTAGCGTTATTCTTAAAGTTGACTATCTTATTTTCTTTCTTTTTTTTTTTGAAGACATTTGTTGAATTCCAGGTTATTTTTCAGTAGGAAGTTCCTTCGTTTGAAAAATAGGGGCTGTATAAACTGTGGTTGTTGTGTAGAAGTAGAAGAGATTTAAGAATGCATACTTTTTGTTTCTACGAGGGAGCAGAATTCCAGTGGATGTGCAGAATTACAAGGAATGTGCAGGTTGCAGAATTCCAGAGGATGTGCAGAATTACAAGGATGTACATGTTGCAGAATTCCAGAGGATGTGCAGGTTGCAGAATTCCAGAGGATGTACATGTTGCAGAATTCCAGAGGATGTGCAGGTTGCAGAATTCCAGAGGATGTGCAGGTTGCAGAATTCCAGAGGATATGCAGGTTGCAGAATTACAAGGATGTGCAGGTTGCAGAATTCCAGAGGATGTGCAGGTTGTAGAATTCCAGAGGATGTG